GAAACAAATCAAACAAAATCAAACAAAAACCAAGCAACAACAATAGCAAAAACGTGACAACTCCCCGCCGTGAAACAGTATTATTATCATGATCTATGCACGCGTAGTGCGCGTGAACTAATCCATTAAAAAGAAAAAAAAGAAAAAGACACAAAAAAACAACAGCCTTTCTACTATGTCTTGACTTGCATATTGATCTCTAACAATAACATTGTTTCTGAACTCTGTCTTAGTTTTCACAGCGTATTTCATGAAAATGACGTACGAAAACAATGATACTATTACCTACACAGCAACCCTCCTCCCTCTGTCTATAGCTTAGTATCCATTCGCATTCTGGTGAAGGAGGTAAAAAAAATCGTGTAACTGTCTTTCCTGAGGACACAACGTCGGGCCTCTAACAGGGTTCAAACCGGCGCGCAGACTTTCATTTCCGGGCCCAATATTAGTGTAACCAAATCAATATTTATTACAGTTCTTCTATCTCAAAACATCATTTTTTATGTTTGTTCTTATTTTTGTCAGATAGCTTTTTGACTTCATGCCCACATTTCTGTGAAACTCTTACAGTAATCTTTTATCAATTTGTTTTAATTAACGGTAAGTAAATATCGTTCTAACCGGAGAATGAGTACTTAATGTTTTTTCTTTGTTTTTGTTAAATAATAATTTATTGAGTAAAATTAAATATAAAGGTTTCATCAATGCCTTTCACCCCTGGCAGGGCATAGGTCACATGTAAGCTCCTTCCATTTATTGCTTCCAAAGCTCGTTCCAAGTGAGCTTCATCTCTCTCGTGTCCCTTTCCACACATCTACCGCAAGTTTCCCGTGGCCTACCCCTGCCTCGCGACACCCGTGGGTTCTACTGCAACGACTGTCTTGTGATGTTTCCGCTGGACTTTCTGCAGGTGTGACCCATTCATCGCCACTTTCTTAGTCCTATTTCTACTTCTATATCCTTTTGTTCTGTCCTTTCCCACAGCTCTTCATTTCCTACTCTATACTGCTACTAAATTCTCAGGATACTCCTCATACATCTGTTGATGAAAATCTGGACTTTCTTCAGTTTTCAGTACTGTCTTTGTTGTCTTCAAGTCTCCCAGCGGTAGAGGAGCATAAACTTGACATTGGAGGTAAAGGATCGAATCTTGGTGTGCAGTGAGATGTTGCTTGCTTTCCAGACTTTTGATAATTGATTGAAGGCTGACCCTGGCTTGGCGGTTCTTGCTTTTACATCTGCCTCTGTTCCACCTTTACCATCGATGACACTTCCAAAGTAGGTAAAGGAGTCCACTTCTTCCAGGGGAAACAAGGCTTGAAATTGTTCGTAAATAATGATTTACCGCGCACCAAAACCCACAATAATCTTTGTTGTCATAATTTTGCATTTATAATGATATAAGATGAGGTTGATGTCTTATCATCCCTTTCTATGGCCGTCATGGCGTCCTGCCTGTTAGAAATTTTTTGTTTTGTTAAAAAAAATTCCAATCATCATTTATTCCAAAGGAAGTTTTGCTTATTTATTTGACAGAGTAAAATGAAAAATAACATGACATATTTTCCAGAACTGTGCGGTGGCTGTGTTTATTTTCAACCTCAGACAGACATGCATGAAAAGGCCACCCCTACAGGGGAGAAGTGACCTTTCACTTCGAGCTATAACGTTGAAATAAATATGCTGCTTGAAAAGACAAATTAAATCAGGATTGTCTTATATTTAAAACCTCAAGGCTCAGCATAAATGGAATCAAAAGTAATTGGTAAAAATATCTGTGATGGTTTTGTGTTAGACGAACTATAATTCGCTTCAAACCCTGTGATTCTGTGACTGTGCATCTGATTTTGAAAACGAACACACTAATTAATTAGTCTTCAGTTGAAAGAAAATAATTATAACTCGCTTTGTTTACTTCGGTTCTAAATAATAAAATTCCTCTCTTATCACACAAAAAACAGGATAATTGAAACCATAATGTAATGATGTATATCGGATAAGAACAACAAAACACTTCCTTTTACACTTTTAAAATACCAGTACAAAGTACGACAACACAGACTGTTGTTAGTTTTGGAGAAGACAAGGCTCACATTTTTGACTTGACAAATTATTATTGAACAAAGGCAAAGAAAAACATTGATAATTCATTCTCGAGCCATGATGATGATGATGATGATGATGATGATGATGATGATGATGATGATGATGATGACGATGATTATGATCATGATGTTCATGATGTTCATGATGATCATGATGATCATGATGATGATGATGATGAAGGCTGCAAAAGAAATGGATCTTGAATTTTGAACCTTTACTTTTGAAGAAAGCAATTAAAAAGGACCCAGAGTTATAGAACTACTGTACGGTAAAAAATAATTAATGATACAAATCATTGAACAAAAGGTAGGGAGGCTATGTTCAATCGTTGAGAAGATAACTAATATTTATTTTACAATAAAGTTACTCCTTACATTTTTTACCAGACTATAGGTTCAAAATGCAGGTCATGGAAGCTGAACAAATAATATATAAGAATAAATAATTTTTATTATCCTTCAGAGCAAAATACGTAAGATGAGAAACCGAGCCTCTTCTCATTAGGGATATCCACTTTTGTTCATGTCCACCTTCGTTTCTGTTTTTGGCAGGAAAATACAACAGAGGTGGAAGCCGAGATAGAAGGTGGACAGCCAGCAGGAACAGCATCTTTTCTTGAAAACAATGAAGCAGTTTTTACAACCGTATTGACACAACTTAGATCATTTAGGAAGTGAGCTCCGAACATGCCTTTCAGGGCCAAACTTGGGTTCAGAGAGATATAACTTTAAAGCAATTTTTACACCCTCTCAAAGTTCCATTAAAGGTGTACCTTTCAACATCACCAAAATGCAGTTTAACGCTATGGTCAAGGCTTACCGTTTTCTTGCTTCACGTGATTACTGACAGGAACAGCACCACAAAAACATGTTTTTTTAAATCGCTGGTGAAAGTAGTACCCGAGAGGATTTAAGTGGAATGCGCTCACACAGACCAAGTATTAATTCAAGTAGAAGTGAACTTGAACCCCCCCCCCCAACCTAAACCCACGATGATTTAG